ATATATATGTACTCCTTTCCTTGGTAGAGCTTTAGTTTGCAATGTAAACAAACAACTCAATTTCACAGGTGTCCCATATCAGCAGTAACAGATGTTGTTCAGTGAAACAAAAATGTGTTGGAAATGGAGATACTTTATGAGAAAAGAAAGCTTAGTTTGTGTCTTTCCCTCTCTTTTGACATTTAAAAATGGGACTGACTTTTATAACTGTTTTTGCTGGTCTTCTCTGTTCTGTTTTGTCTTGCAGGGCTTTGAATAAAAACTTCAGGGGACCCTGAAGGGTACTTTGAAGACTTTGTCTGTTGGTAGTTGTTGATATGGGGGTATTGATCCTCTAGTAAAAAGGCTTTGGTTTTTATCCTATTAACTTTCTGAACATTGGAATGAAATAATTTTTTCCAAGAACTAGCATAGTTCAGTGGCTTTTAAATCAAGTGGGTGGGAGGGTGAAGGCAGGGAATGGAATGAGCAAGCAGAGCACCATTTTCTACCTGAAAGAACTGATTTTCATTGGTGATGTACTATAGCTTCATTCTGAGCTTGTGCCTAGGCATCTCACATGAAAAATGTTAAAATACGCTTGACTCACCACTCTGAAATATATTCCAGGACTTTTTTCTAAATCATGGAATGCTCTGAATTGCCATCTGTTTTGAAAACAAAAGTCCTCTGACCTCCTGACCACATTTTTCCTATTCAGTACTGGAGTCATGTCTGTTTACGTCAGAGACTGAAAATGTCTGTTCTAATGAAGCTGAACATGGTCCATTCATTCTCCTTCAGCAGTAGACACCTCCCTCCCTACTGTTTATCTCACTGCTAAGCTTCCCACCCTCCTTTGCCTCAGCTTAGGTAGCTGCCCATAGGTGTAAGGAAATTATTATTTTACTCTGTATTTGCTTCCTCCTTGAACATAAAGCTATTCTAGATGTCATATCAGGGTTGTTCCTCCTTTGCTCTGCTCTTTGCATTGGTGCCAGGTGTGAGGAAGCATCCCAGGTATTGAATCCAGGATAGTATCCAAGCTGGACTTTGCCTTTTTGGTCTATCAGCTTCTGATTCTGGGCTAACTCTCATACCAGAAACCTAAGCAAGGTATTGTCATTCCTGAAGAAAAAAATTGAAATTGCATAACTGTATGGCTTACAATACAAAGTATTAACTGCACACAGACAACATCAAAACACAGAGCTGACAATACAGACATGCTAACACAGTCATATAGGTTAAAAAGAAAAATGTCTAAAAACCAACAAGACAATAGAATTGGGAGCAGCTTCAGATAGTGCTCTTCAACTAGAACACTGTATGACATGGACAAAAATGCTTTCTTATCCCAGTCACAAATGTTTTGACCTTTTCTAACAATGAAAGACTTTGCAAACATGGATGAGATGATGGAAAATCCCATGAAAATTAAAGAACATAATATGACCTGGCAGTCTGGGTCATGCTAAATCCATGTTATCCAAGCAATCCATGTCAGACTAAGTGGGGAAATCAATTCACATACCACAATGTTGGATTAATCATCATAAAATATGACTATCAAATTCCAAAATTGAATCTCCATGAAGACTGAGGAAACTTATCTAGCTTATTGTTTAATTCTGTTTGTATTATGGAAGTGTGAGCTCATAGTAGGTTAATTATAATAATAATTAGTTATAAACACTCAGTGAAACAATATTGAATTTCCATGTTTCAGTTTTAACAGCAGCAGGTTTCAGGGGTGGCCTCTCTGAAAAGGAGCCAGGGGCTGCCCTGAGCTGGCACAAACAGTTCCACCCAGCTCCAACAGACCCACCACAGGACACAGCTGAGCCCATCAGTGATGCTGGGGGTGCCTCTGCGAAAACATTTTATGACTGGCAAAAATGATAGAGAGAGAGAGAGAGAAGAGAACAAAAGAATGAGAAACAGCAGAGGCAACACCAAAGTCAGAGGAGGAGACTCTCTTTGGCAAGGCAGGCACTGCCTGAAGGGAATGCAGCCCATGGAGGACCCACGCTGAAATCGAGGAAAAGAGTGAGCAGGAAGGAGTGACAACAGACCAACCTCTGCAACCTGACTGCAACACTCCCTGGCCCCATGCTGCTTGTTGCTTCAGGGAAGGGATTGTGGCAATAACAATAGGCAAAAAATTGGCAATATTTCTTTTCCCCAAGTCAAGTCTAAATTGCCTATAACAGTAGCAGACATATTATCTGTCTGTCCTTATCTTGGCTTATGAGCTTTCTTGCTCATGGGACAACAGGAGGTCTTCCCATTTCTCCCCCATCCACCACAGGAACATGTTCTGTTGTATTTAACTTTGTAGAAATGTTCCCAGATAATTACGAGAACTGCCATAGAAGTAGGAGGTGTACACCACATTTTCGGTCACTTTTTCTACAGATCACATGCTGATCATTGTATACAACTCCACCCCTGTAGTGCAAGCACAGTTCTGAGACAACATATAGACAGTTTCACAGGACAGCAGGACTCATGGTGAGGCCAAACTATACTGTCAGCTATACATGCTTTTGCCAGCACAGCAGGAAATTTTCACTTATTGTGTCTTATTAACTGTTGAAGCTCTATTTTATTTTTAATATGGGCTTGTGCTTTCTCATTTTACACCAGTGGCTATCTTTTGCAAACTGCTGTTATATATAAAACGATATTACTAATGATGCCACACCTATTCCTGTGTTGCTCTATAGGGAAATGCTAACTTTACTCATAATGACACTACTTTAAGCAGTCAGGTTACTTAGGCTTTTAGAAAACGTCTTGCTGTCTTTATAAAACATAAAAATATCACACTATAATCTTCACTTCTTGTTTTTGTAATAAAACAGTATCCTCATCAGTAGTGTTCAACATAAAAGATTTTTCTGTTCTTCAGGTGATGCTAAGATCACATAATCAAGCATGTATGCTAAAGTGATATTGAGAACTTGAAAAGCAGATTATCTTCTTCTACTAATTAATGGACAAAGAAAAATAAAATTAAACACTTATTATGTAACTACTAACTATAGTTGGAGACATAATTAAATATAACCTAGCCCACGTGTTTCTGTTGTGCATTTCAAAGCATGGCTCTAACGCTCTGTGAGCAGCTCAGTTAACTTTTGAGGTCAGTGCCATCTCTGTAGCAATCTGCATAAAATAAGAAGAATCTATAGTTCAACCTATCACCCAAGGGGGGTACTCAGCTTGTTTGCATAGGTGCACAGCTCAGCTTTGTGTCCTGAGAGACCTGTGCAGTGCAGGGAGGCAGAAACTGGGTGAACCAATCTGCTGGGGTGTCGTGCAGGGGCTGTCAGTGGGTGAAAGCCAAGCCAGCCAGCATGGAGCACTGCTTCCCAATGCTCACACCAAGCTGCCTCACCTCCCTGGAGCCTGTTCCCAAGAGCCAGCTGTGAAGGATGCACCCTGTGCTCCTCATCACTGCACCAGCTGTGCTACCTGCTGCACCCTGTCTATGAGGCAGTGTGGTTTACTGCAAATAGCCATGAACTAACTATATTGGTCTTATTACACATAACTATATTGGTCTTATTACACATGGCAGCATACATATTTAACAATGTAAAAAGAAGCTAGTTAAACCTTTGCCTCAGTTTTGAGCCATCAATTCACAAAAATATTTTAGAAGAGACAGAGTAACAAAGATATTTAGCACTTACAAAGCACTTTTATATACAGACTTCCTTAAGGAGATTTTTCACAGGTGAGTTAGAAACAAGAAAATTAACAACTTGACTGCATCTGCTGAGCGACCTAGTGCCTTAGCTGGGATCTAACTTCAAGTCTCCCAAAGTCCCAGGCTAGTTCCTTCTCTTCAGGATCTCAAAAATAACTCAAGAGTCACTTTGTATATTTGGCAAGATTACTAACAGGCTGTAATATGAAGAAACTATAGTTAAAGATATTTCATTCATTATCAAGACTTTCTAACTGCTTTTGATCTAGGAAATAGCATACTATTTCTTTTTTAGTCCTTGCAGTAGGTAATGCAAGAAAAAATACATATTTATATGTATGTGTATACATATCACAGAATTGTAACTTGGCTGCTTAGCAAAAAAGGAGAATATATTTTACCTCTTTCCACAGCTTTAGACTAGTGAGCTCTAAAACAGGTTTAGGTTTCAGAAAGCCATTTCAAACTGCTGTTCCTACCTGCCTTCGAGAAGCAATAGTGCTATTGAAACTCCTGTTAGGCATCTTGGAATTCACAGGCTTGCTTTGGTGAGCCACATCATTCCTCCACGTCTTAGAGCTTTCTTTTGGGTCCGAAGGGATGGTGTTCAGGAACAGTATTCTAGCAATCAGGCCATAGAGGACAGTTGCCAATACCATTGGCACAACATAAAATATACCAAAGTCCATCATGTAGATAGGGGAGTAATAGCTCCTGGACACTTTGTAGCCACAGGACACAACAGTAGTCTCTTTGTAGACTACAGTATTAAGGTCTAGCAAGAAAAACCAGAGCATACAGTATATGGAGGTGAAACCCCAGACAAAAATAATGATCTTTTTGGCTCTTGAAAAAGTGCATAGGAATTGAGCTTTGATTGGGTGACAGATGGCTATGTATCTTTCAATGGTGAAGGCAGCAATGGAAAAAGAAGAAGCATTGATCCCCAGGTACTGGAGGTAAGTGATGCAGAGACACCCCACGTAGCCATATACCCAGGATCTATACAGGCTGTCTGTGATATTGGGTAGTCCTGCAGCCACAAGCACCATGAGATCTGCCACAGCCAGACTCACCAGATAGCAGTTAGTGGGAGTTCTCATGTGCTTGGTTCTGAGGACCACCAAAACCACCATAATGTTGCCCACGATGCCCAGTCCACAGATGAGGAGGACCAACAGAATAGTAACCACTTGGTATTCAGCTGTAATGATCTCCTGGCTTGATAGTGGCAGCCCAGTTTGGTTCTGCTCGTCCCCTGTGCCATTCTCCATCTTCACCAGCCCACTGCTGCTTCTGCCCAGCACTCGGTCTCAGCACGTCTTCTCCATGGTCCCTCAAAAGGGTGAGTGGGGCAGAGTGTGGGTGAGCTGCAGCCCCAGGTCACATTCTCCATGTAGTCACAGCTCCATTCCTGTACCGTCCTCCACTCCCCTGAAAACACCTGAACTTTCAGTCTTTGGAAATTCAACTACCAGACGGGTTAATCCCTCTAAGACTTCAGCTCATTTGCACAGGTTAAAAGGCTGTTTTCTCACAGCCTGTTTGAGTCATTCATTAAAACCCAGCACGTAGAGGTGGAAGTTTCCTCCCTGCAGCAGCAGGGAAAGCAGAGCTGTCCTGCACTGCCAGCTGCTGAGCACTGCACAGGGCTGCGCTGATCCAGCATCACGGCTTTCCAGGAGGAGTCACAACACACCGAGGGTGGAGACAGCAGCAGGAGGTGAAAGGAGAGGGATTTGTATAGCCCATAGGTTTTCTGCTTCCAGCCGCTTTCCCCCTCTGCTCTCAGATGGCTATCTCATGTATTGATCATATTGACCCACTGGCAAACAAAGGGGAGTTTGACTGGCAACAAAATTACACCAATTTCTAAAATTCTGACTTCCCCTTTGTCCCTGTCCCTGTGAAAGTAATGGTCATTTACACTTGCCCCTTACTTTGCAGGGAGCTGTAAGAGTAACTTCAGTTTACAGAAAGAAACACCTCCCAGCTTTTGAAAATAGCAGGAAAAAATGTGGGGTTTCACTTTATAAACAATTCTCTTCAAAATCCTCTATTGCTATTGATGTCATCACTCCTGAGCGCTTTCAGCTCTTTCTTAGATTGTTGCATAGTAACAATAAAATGATCAGAGCACAAATAGCTTCTTAATGAGATCAGTCACACACATGCACATGTGTGATTATGTGCACACTCAGTCACCACTCACTCACTCACTCACTCACTCAGAGTGTTACTAATCCACCACCATTTCCTCAATGAAGAGTCTCCCCTGCTTGAATAAACTCCTCCATGGTCAGTCAGGTTGTGTAAAACCACAGATGAATCAGAGACTGGTGGAAATAACTGTGCAGATGAAGCCTGAGTGATGTAGTAGCCGAGCTGCACCTGGAGATGGATGCAGCACGTTCCTATCTCGCTTGCTGGCAATCTAAATGCCTCAGTGAGAGAAACAATAGCAAACTCTTCTGCAGTGCTCTGTTAAAATGCCCTTGCCATCTCCCCACCACAGTCCTTCAACCCGTCACTTCTCCTTATACTACTGTGTAAAAAGGTTAAGGAGCAAATTTGTCTTAAAATCCCTTTTTTTCTCCATTTGGGGCATTTGTTTTTTTTCTCTTTGCTCAGGAAGGGTTCAACAAAATAAAATGTTGCACAACTGAGGAAAGGCATCTTGGATTTCAAAATAGATTTAAATGTTAAGAGAGAAGGCACATGCACATGGTGTGATGTTTGCAAAACCAGGACTTTAAATGGACTGAAACAACAGGTGGCAACAAAAAGAAAGTGTCACCTGAACCAGAGCTGGAAATCAACCTCAAACAATTCCAGAGGTTTGAAACCACTCAGTTAAGTTTCCCAGTAATTTTTTTTATTTGTCTTTTCACATTTCAGTCATGATCACACACTTTTTATTTGTAGACCCAAAAGTACTTAATGAAGTAAAGAAAGTATCATTATTCCTGTTTAACATATGGAGAAACAGGGGTGGAAAGAATCAGACATTTTTGTCAGTGGTCTTGCAGTGTCCTGTGGAAAAATACAAGTTGCCATTTATTTGACCAGTGGTATATCAGCAGAAACACATTGTGGGTCTCATCTTGATTCTCCTCCATATGATCTGTAGGTCCTGCTATTTTGGACACAGCTGAAAGAAGAAGGTCAGCACTAGTGTAATGCCTGGATGTCATAAAAAGGATTCCTCCAAGCCCCTTCATGCTCCACAACATTTTATCCTTCAAACTGGACAGATTCCTTCTTAGCAATCCATGCTTCTAGAGCTGTGTGACTATAATGGAGGTAGCCCCAGATGTTCAATGCCATGGCATAAAATACACTGTGAGAGAGCCTAGGAGTGAATGATCACATAGTGTCAGCAATCAGGAACCCAGCAGGGATCACACCCATCAGGGCACTGAACAGAAGTTCAGACAAAGAAACAGATGGTGCCCTGGATAAACCCCTTAACTCTCAGGGGTCTCACCTGTATCAAAAGTTTTTGGCACCTCTATAGATTGATTGCTCTTTCAGGAGTGACTGATGCATTTCTGCCATAGCATCCCACCATGAAGTCTTGTTCCTCGTGTTTCTGTGTATTCTGCTAGCTCATGTAGGCATGGATGGTCTGAGCTGGGGCTGACAATGTGCATCTGAGAGTATGTAGGTGTTTGCAGTACAGGAAGTAATGGCTGAGGACACAGAATGCAGAGCAGCTGTGGAATATTTAAAAGGCCATGTGACTTTGAAGTGAATATGGGAGGTCTGGAAGGTGTGCAAGACATATTATCTGATGTTTGCCTCATTTCTCTGCATCTGCTACTGGTCTTTGTAAGAGATGGGATAGACCATCTTGTCTCAGTCACTTTTTATCAAGCGTTGCATTCTGGTAGCAAAAAAGGTACAGAGTTGTCACTGTATTGATATAGGGAAGTATATCTACAGGAGGCATTCAGAGGATTTTGAGAGTATTAAAATCCTATATGAAACATTTCCCTTTTTATACAGTACTTCCCCAACCCTCAAAGTTTCTGTAAAACCTGCAGCAATTGAGAAGGTATTTCAAGACTGGAAATATATATTCTGTGCAATTAAAGCTTCTGGTACTCTGGATTTCACTGAAACATCGTATGATGCACAATCAAATTATCCTTTTAATGTCATCATCAGTCAGAGATCAGATACTCAGTAAAAGACCAACTTTTTCTCCCAGTTAATGCTATGTAAATGCAACTCTCAAAATATGCCAGCTAGTTTCAAAAGCAGTTCATCATGAATACATGTAAGCTCAGCAGCTGTGGCAGGGAAATTTTGACAGCAGATGGACCAGAGATCACTATGAAACTTTTATGACATTCTATACCCATACCTGTTGGACCAGGCATCGTTTGACATTGCATGTACAAAGGAGGACAGATGCAGTTAATAAGCCAACAACAATAAGCAGAAAAACAAGCCCCAGAAATGTGCTCACTTTTGCTAATGCATTTCTGTTGGTACAACCCTCTGGGTAGGAGGGAAAGGAGAAGGCATCATGTCGATAAAACCTGTGCTGTGTACTGCTTAGCCAACAATGTTCTTGTCCAATTTTTTTATCCATTTGCCTCAATTAAAATGTCTGTGCTCACTTGAGTCCCAACAAACCCGTAACAAACTGTCTCATAATGTTAAGCACACTCTGAGATGGAACAGTGAATCACTATAAACAGTTTAGTCCACTAGCTATAAATTACTCTTAATTCTGTTTCCCTAACTCAGATCACTTCCCCATCTGGCCTTTTCTGTTCTGAAAAATGATTCTGCAAAAATGGCAATTTCATACTCTATTAGCTGCCTGTACTCAGGGTTCATAAAAAATCACAGCTAAGTTGGATTCGTTACTCTGCGTCCACCTCTGATGGAGTGCCAAGTACTTACTGCTGCACAAATGTTTCCAAGGCTGCAGTTTGTAGAGAGCAAAAGCCACCAACCGTGATGTAGCTTCAGTACCATCCAAAGTCTGGCTTTTAATGTTTGTAACTAGCTACTGGCATGATCAGATCCAAATATGTTTGGGATTTGCACTTGGCACAGCTAAATACTGTAACAATTGTGGTCAACTAGAATTTATTCTCTTACGCTGCTGACCATATAGCTGTGGTTTTGTACTGGTATAGTGAGCCTGTGGATAAGGGTTTGGTTTGTGGGAGAAACCTGTACCTGGAAAAGCCTTTTAGGAGTAAAGATTGCAAGGGAACCAAACACCTTTCTTGTGAGTTAAATCTCATTACCCAAGGCAAGGATCTGTCTTTCTTTCTAACTAATTTTTTGTTGCCTGTCACTAGAGAACACTGAAGTACTGCTAAAATCCTGAGTGGGTTTTCTAGATGGACCTAAATGGTTTAGGACTTATGATGAGTTGGAGATTCATACCCATATCCAACAAATTCTATTTGATTTAGGGGCTTTTAATCATCGTGAGAATGCAAATCCTGTTTCAAAGATGAGTTTTGTTGCATCCTATTTATTTTCTTTTAATCTTTGACTTGGACTGGTGTTGGCTCAAGACAAGTAATAAGGAATCTTTAACTTCATTGTTCTGTAAAAACAATTGTCATGAAAAGTATATAAAATGGATTTAAGAAATCAGTTGTCTCACACGGGAAATCTGATTTAGCACTTGCCTGTGAATAAGATCACTGAACACTGCAGTTTGCTGAGACAGATCAGGGATCCTGTTGCAAAGGAGACTAGAAGGACTTTTAGAGGTCTGCTCTTTTCTTCACTAGTTTCTATCAACTCAGGTGGAGATAAACTGTACAAGAGCCTGATGAAGGAGCTGGAACTTTGCCAGAATAAATATAGAAGGATGACACACACAAACCCCCAAAACAACCTCCCTTCCGAAAAAAACCAAAAACCCCACAAAAAAACCATAACCAAAACCCTGAAAAAACACACAACCAAACAAAAATCCCCACAAAAACTGAAACACACACAAACACACACAAAAAAAAGGGTGACAGAGACTGCCTTCATAATTTTTTTTATTTGCTTAATTATTTGCACTCACTTGGACTTTGCCTCTTAAGGGACTATGGGCTAAATGAAAATCATTACAGAAAATGGTCCAAAGAAAGAGGGGTGCAGTTCAATAGGGATAAACATAAAGTGGTATGCTTTGGCAGGAGCAAACAGGTACACAAATCCAGTGTCTAATAATTGGCAGAGGAACAATTCTGTAAAAGTAGCTTATCTGCCCCCAAGCCATGTTGATCAGTATGAAAGGCTGATG